AATCGTAAAGACTCACGAGTTAGCTGCCTGAGTTAGAACAACTTTTAGTTTGAGTGCTGTAGAAGAGATAGTGATGATCACGCATGCAATAACCTTTAAAAAAGTTCTAAATTACAAAATAATTTTTTATTAAGAGATAGGCTACGCTAAGCTAAAGTTCTAATCGAGGTTATATTTTTTTGACTACTCTTATGATAGTTGAATTAAGCGAGTGAGATGAGACGAGGTTAAAAAAACAGATTTTCAAGAAAATTTTGCAGAGAATCTAAATAAAAATTTGGAAGCAAAAAATTTTTCTCATATTATTATTTAAAATTTGAGGAGTTTAGACTATGATTCTGCTCTTATGACCGTCATCAATGGTAACACTGCCGAACACTTGGATATGATTGGAAGTGAGGTGATTCAGCGCCTTCTTGCAGATAAGTGGAAAGCCTTTGCCATGGTAGGTTGATCCATGTGTTTGAAAGTGAATGGAATTTGGTTAAACTTATGAACTGTACCTTCATGCGAGAATTCCAGCGAAAACTGATTGAACGTCTGGCGCTACTTATAGTGCAGTTGGTCACTTTGTCCATTGTTGTGTATGTGCGGCCCACTGAAACAGAGCGCTTATATATGATTCAGCCGGAGTGGGACGATTGGGTAAGAGAAGTTCAAAAATTATACAATTATTTTCGCTTGAAGGCAGTACCTTGTTGTTATGAATCCAAGAGGAGACACCGAAGAAGTAATTGTTATTTCGACAAAATATTTGCAATTGTAAGATAAGGAACACAGAGATGACAATTTCAAGTTTTAAATTAGCTTTGTGCAATGAGTCTTTCTAAACATGCTGTGTTATCGTACATTAATTACCATACGCAACCAAAAATGTTTTGCAATGAAAAAAAGGTAAATACAGTATCCGCCTTTCTAAAAAGAAAAACTATCAGCATAGCCTGATGTTTCGTAATTTAACTACTGCACATTGCAGGACTGGGTTAAAAGATGGGAATTTAGGGATAGGGAGGGC